GGGGTGGAGTGGGGAGGAGGGGGAGAGTGAGTGCAGGTGGACAGATGTAGGATATAGGAGGGGGGATAAGCATGTAGATGAAAGATTGTGACTCCTTGGGGGTGTTAATTTTAATTATGTAAAAATATCTCGACCTGTTTTTAGTGGAACTGTGTCCTTTCCAGGGACTTTTAAAAAATCAGAGATGGGAAACTCTGCCTCCTATAAAGTTTTTAGAACTAAAAAAATGGGTCTTGGGGTACTCCATATTTGGAGGATTTGATGTGGAATTTCATGTGTTTAGTTTCATGTGTATTTAATGAGATTTAAGAACATCAGTGGGTCACTTTGTGGATGATGGGGGGCGGGTACGGTTGGCCTGGGTACCTGGCCACAGTCTAAGAATATGTACAGAATTCTGACGCATTCCACCTGAATGATGGGCCCAAGTGTGTGGGAGACATAGGAATTCCTGTTGTATCCAAGTGTTCCAGAGATGGTGTGCTGGAAAGGAATGGGGGTATAGGAGGACGTTGGGAGCATGGGAGACGGATGGAGACTCCTTTTCTGGTGGGGGGACACCGCAGAAAAGCTCAGGCTGGGCCAGGGGTCTTCGGCCTCATCACAGATGTGTTCCTCTCATGACAGTGTCCTGTGGGACAGGACAAAAGCCCCAAAGGTGTCCTTCTATGGACCAGATATTAGGATGCAGGGAGGCAAGACAACTTCCCAGGGCTAGCTCTAGGGTGACAGTCTGGAGATCTGACTTCCATGAAGGGGCCCTGGCAGTGTGTGGCGGGGGGCTGCCTCCACCTCTCTTGCTGCCCACTGAAGCTCCATGGCTCTCTCTCTCTCTCTCTCTCACTCCCTCTCACCCCAGCCCCTGGAGGTGGCGGCGTGTAGACCAGCCCTGGGCACCTCCACTACTGTCCCTGCCTGATTGCGGGAGCCTGCGGACCGGGTGGAGGCGGTGGGGACCCCAGCCTTGCCCAGGGAGCGCTCCCCTGAATGAGCCGTCCCACCTACTCCAAGGCTGGAGCCGCTGCACTTCCCCAGGCCTTGGCAGTTATGACCCCCCAAAGAGCACGTCTGCATCCCAGACCCAGGGACTCAGGCCTCCAGCTCCTGGGGTCCCGGGAATCCACCCTCAGCCCCCCACAATCCCTGTGTGCTACTCCCCGGCACCTCCCTGCTCCCCGCACCCTCAGCGTCTATGTCTTGAGCTTAATAAATGTGCATTTGGTTTTTCCCCCTGTTCTGTCTGTGTGTTCTCATCTGTGGGGACCAAACTGGGGAGGGGACAAAACTGACGCCGGGGAGCTCTCTCCCCCATCCCCAGAGTTTCCCCCTTCCTCTCATTCCCCTCCCGCAGTGCCACCGTGGCCGCCTCCTCTCTCAGAGCCCCTCAAGCTTCCCTTCCCTCCCTCAGCGCCACCGCCCCCAGCTGCCCCTTCCCTTCTCATCCCCAGACCCCAGAGTAGACCCCTCCCCCGCTCTCCCTCCCTCCCCACAGGAGCCTCACCCCGCCAGACCTGCCAGCCCTGCTGTTCCCCACCCCCACCCTCCCCTAGGCCGGGGTGGGGGGGTGCAGGCCTCCGCCCAGCCTCTCACCCCAGCCCCCCCCATAGCCCTCAACGTCTCCCCCTCCTGCTCCCACCCCGGGCTCTGAAGCCAGGAAACCCAAGAGGAAATGACTGAGCCCGTCTCGGTCCCCGCCCGCCAGCGCTCCCCTGGCCACACCCTCCGCCTGGACTCAGCCACTGCAGCTGCCCTCTCCGCACGAGTCTGCCGGCGGCTCGGGACCCCCAGCTCTGACGTGAGTCTCTCCTCCGATCTTCCGCCGTCCGCTCCCCTCTGCCCAGGGGCCGGGCTCAGGTGGGTAGAGAGCGATCTTCTTGGCGCCTCTCCGCGCCCCCATTCATGCTCCCTGACCCTCCGGCTCCCCATTACCTCCGTGTGCGGCATTGCTTCTCTCCTCCTGCCTCAGTCTCCCCAGCTCGCCTCCACCCCCCTCACCCTCCCAGATCTGCCCAGCATCCTGCTCTATTGTCCCTGCAGGGAGGCCCCTAACACCAACTCACTTTTTCCTCTGAGATCAGGAGCACATTACTCACTCTTCCTCTCTCCCCCTCCTAGCTGACTCCTCTGCTCCGAGGGCTGCCCCAGAGGGAGGGACCGAGGTCCTCAGATGTCCTCCGGTGCCCCAGATCCCTCCCCTTGCCCTACACGGTCAGTCCTGTCTAGCCCTTGAATGCTTCTCTGCCTCAGCCCTGTGCAGTGGCTGCTACTCGAAGCCTGGTTTAGTCTGATGCTTCTTGTTTTCTTTGGGGACCTGCAGAGGGAAAGAGGGAGTGACTGCGGGCGATCCCCACTTCTGAAACCCTCCCCCTGGCCCTCCTTCCCGCAGCCAAAGACCCTGGCAGGGGTCTCTGAAGCCAGAGGTGCCTGCTCAGGGTAAGGAAGGGGGCTGCAGGGTCCCCAGGGGTTGCCCTGGGCCTGCCTCACTGACATCATGGCTGACCCCAGCTCTGGCTTGCTCTATAGATGTCGCCCTTTGGTCGCCTGTGTCTCCTGGTCTTCGTTGGCCTGATTCTCCCCACCAGAGGTAAGGCCCAGCCCTGACTCCACCCTGCTGCAGAGCCCTCAGCCCCACTTCGAGTGCATGTGTTGCTGGGTGGACGGCTGGTGAATTTGGATGCTCTGTCCTGTGTCCTCAGTCCCCTCTTGAGCTGGCACCAGGAAGTGGGGGCCCCAATAAGGCGGCCAAGGTTACACCCTCTTTAGATACCTCAGACCTGGGTGGCTGCTTCCAACGAGTCTGGCCAGGGCCTGTCCTGCTGAGCATCCTCCATTTCACCTCCAAGAAGGACTCAACGGAGTTTGATTTGGCGGGGAGATGGGTGTCGGTTTCCTACTTGGCAACCAGGAACACCAGACTCACAGCAGAGCAGCTCCCTTGGATCCCCGGGTGATATATGATTAGGGAAAAGGGTGAGCTGGGGCCAGTCCAGGAGTTGGAGATGTCTCACCCTTACCTGAGAAGTGTTTTCTGAAGGCAGTACCTGTGGTGGGCCTTTGCAGGTGCTTTCTACATGACAGGTGCTTGTTTCAGCTTCAGCTCTACTCTATGGTGCTGTTGTCATGACCATTTTACAGATGAGGAAACTGAGGCTCAGTGAAGGAAAGTGCCCTGTGCCAGAGGCTAGTGAGTGGAGGGGCTGGGCTACAACCCTGGAACCCAGAGCAAACTCTGCACTGAAGCTGCCCCATTTCTCTTTGATAAAATGGTTTTCCTGTGTTCATTCAGTCATTCAACAAGCGTTCACTGAGCAGATCCTATTCTAGGCAATTGCATAAAACAGGAGCTCACATTCTAGTTGGAAAGACACACAGTAACTGACACATCCGTAAATTATATAGTATGCTAGAAGGTGAAAAGATGCTATAGAGAAAAAACAGAGGAGAGAAATGAGGATTGTTTAAATAGGGAGATCAGGTAAGACCTCACCAGAAGGTGACGTTTGGGCAGACACTTGAAGGAGAGGAGGAGACAAGCCAAGCAGGTATGTAAGGAACGAGTGCTGTCTGGAGAATGTGAGTGACAGCAGGCAGGCCAGGGTTCCGTTAGGGTTTGGGTTAGGGTTAAGGTGGGAAGGGGCAGGGTGGTAAGAGGAGAGGTCAGAGAGGTGACAGGGGACCGGGTGGAGGGGGGACTTATGGGCCAGGTGAGGACTTTGGCTCTTACTAGGAGTGAGATGCAGCCAGAGGAGGGCCCTGATCTGACTCAGGGGTTCACAGGCTCCCTCTGGCTGTGTGTGGGGAGCAGACTGTAGGGGCGGGTTGGGAGCAGGGAGACCAGGGAGGAGGTTGTGTGATGGTCCAGGAGGGAGAGCATGGAGGCTGGGCCAGGGTGGGGGACAGTGGCTCTATCCAGCACTGACTGCATGTTAAGCAGTGCGGGAGACCTCCATCTCATTTCACCCTCTCTACAGTCCTGAGTAGTAGATTCAAGTATTATCCCCACTTTGCAGATGAGGCAACCGAGGCTCAGAGAGGGGCTTCACTTGCTCCAGGACACACAGCAAGGAAGTTATTGGGAACAGATTTTGAGATCAGGGCCCTGGCTGAGTCTAGCACCTGGGCTCCTAGCCTAAACTGCCTCTCTCACCCCACAGGGATGGGTAGGGAGAGGCAGCTGCATGCAGGTAGGGTGCTGGGGTATCAGCATTTCTTAAAACACTTCCACCAAAGCTGATCAATCACACATCTGTCTGCTGCTCCGCCAGCAGACAGGACTTCCTGGTTATCCCCCAAAGTTTCAGGAGGGAGGGCAGGGTAGGGGTTTTGGTGAGAGAAGGGGGACCAGAGGCTCCTCCCTGACTTCTCATCCTTGATTTCCCAGGACAGACATTGGAGGAGGCTACATCCGTTACTGTAGCAGACCCAGTCACTGAGAACGTTCATGCCCTGACTCCAGCCCCAGGTGAGGAAAGAGGGACAGGTCTGTCAAGATCCTGTCATTGCAAATAACAATGGCAACAAAAATCTCAAACTTGGACCAAACGGGATTGTTTGGATTTGTGTAACTGTAAAGTCCAGGGGTAAACCTTCAGGCATGGTTCCATCTAGGCTCAAATTATGCTATCAGGAACGTGTCTCCATCTCCTGGTTCTGTTTTCTCTGTGATGGCTTCATTTTCAGGCAGATTCTCCTTTTATGGAGCAAAGATGGCCCATAGAGACCTGGAGCTTCTATCCTACCTGCTAAGAATCCAGAGAATTTCCCCTTCCCCAATCCAGCAGATGCTCCAGAATTGTGTGTCATTGACCAGGCTCAGGTCACACACCCACCTGTGAGCTGATCATTGTGGCCACAGGCATAGAAAACTGATTGGCCAGACCCGGGTCTCGTGTTTAACTTCCAACAGGGCTGGTGCCAGGCCCATTGAACCAAGTGGACTGACAGTCAGGGAAGGATGGTTCTCCAAAGGAAGTTCAGGGGGCTCTTACCAGACGTGGGTGGGTGCTGAGTAGGGGAAAAGGCATCTGTGGGAGGGGAGGGCCTGAGGCCAGGGAGATACTGGCATCCCATTTGGGCAGTTAGCAAATGGCTGGATTAATTCGTTTCCGTGACATCAAATTTGAGTTGCTATGGAAATCCCCCTGTACCTCCATCCATGCATCTTCTCTGCATCTTCTCTCTTTTCTCTTCCTGTTTCCGGACTCCAGACACCGTCCACCCAGAACTCCAGCCCACTCCTCAGACTTCAACCCTGCAGGCTGGTAATAAGTTGGGCAGGGGCAGAGGGTGGGGAGGTGGGCCTGGGACAGACATTGTTGCCTCTCTTCCTCTGACACTCTGGGTCCTTGATTACCCATTTCAGCCCCCCAGTGCTGAGTCCCCTGGTTTACTTTGTCGCGGGGCAGCCAGCTAACTCCATTCACTTCTTGTAAAAATTGTTTGAAATCATGAAAAATAACATGCCTATAGAAAAATATAAAAACCGTAAGTGTACAACTTAAATTACTCTAAGTTGAACCCATGTAACCATCACCCAGGTCAAGGAATAGAGCTTTGCAGACACCCCAGAAACTCCCTGTATGCCAACCCCTTCATTTTCTTCCTTTTATCTCTTTATCTTTTTCCTTTTTTGAATTTTCAAATCATTTCTTCCACTGTTTCTTGGAATATAACATCATTCAAAAAGCGTTCACCAGTTTTGTCCATTAATGTTTAGCGGTACATAGACACGTTCTCCCTGGAAATAAAAAGAATATTGCAGGTAAGATGAAATCGCTTCAACCACTCCCCATTCTCATTCTCTCCTCCCTCTCTGAGAGGTCCCCACCGTTAGTGTTATATTGGGAGTAGTAGAGGAAAATACACAATTGGGAGGTGTCGCTGTGGGAGCTTAAGGATACTGTATGACTGTTGTTCAGCAGCTTGCTTTTTTTCCCCCATGCAATAATGTGTTTGGAAGCTCTTCCCACAGTCTTACAGAAGCATCCGTGTTGGTCTTTTTCACTGCGTGGCATTCTTCAGGGTACCGGTGCACAGCTGATGAAGCCATGCCCATCTTGATGAGCATATTGGTTGCTTCCAGTTCTTGTTGCTTGCAGTGCCACAATGAGCAAGCCTGTCCCCACCTCCTTGAGCACTTACAGCACAAATTAAATGCCGGTCATGGTTCTAAATATTTCACCCGCATTCACTCATTCAATCCTCACACAGACCCTCTGAGGTAGAAATGAGCATTATCTTCGCTTTACAGGAGGCTCAGAGTAACTCACCCAAGGTGTCACCGAAAGTCAGTGACACGGCTAGGATGAGGGTCCAGGAACCTGGCTCTAAAGTTTACCCACGACACGGTGGGGCAAAGGCACACTGATTTGCCCTGCCACCAGCGGCGTGTGAGAGAGTCCCCCTCTCTCATCCCCACAGCAGCACTTGTACATGGATGTCTTTGATTTTTGCCAACTTGAGGAGGGGAGAGGGCCCCTAACTGCTTTCTGCAGGTCCCCTGATTCGCTTTCTTTCTCACCCTCCCCTCCTTTCTCTTCCGACCTGAGTAGGAGCAACCCCGAACCAGATGGAGATCCACACCCAGCAACCGACGGAAATGGATGTGCTTCTAACAACAGGTCCGGGGACAGACAAGAGCAGGACGCAAGGTAGAGCCTGGGACTAGAACAGCAACATATGAGTTGTGTTTAATTCTCCATCTAGGTCGGCATTTCCCTGAGTACGTTTCTCAGAGCACCCGTTTGGGGAATTAATACATTTTTCAAAAAAATTTTCTCGGTTTGCGGTCAAAGGTATTTGGGAAACTCTGAGTTAAAGTTAAACACGTTTCTATCTGGTAGGACTTCTCTGAGTCGTAATAAAGCTTGTTTGTAGCAGGCATCCCAAGAGGGAGCATCTAGTTTGCAGCGTTTTCCAACTTGGTAGACTCAGGAACCCTCTCTATTCAGATCCCTTCGAAGGGCTGGTGCGGGAAATGTACCTGCAGGTGTTTCCTTGGTGTAGATCTTCTTAATGTTAGAACAGGAGCTGTTCAGTTGCAAAACTCAGAAAACCCAACTGGAAAAAAAAAAAAAAAAACAGATGTGTTAGCGATATACGCTCTGTAAAGTACAGAGGCACCAGTTTCAGGCACAGCTGGGCTCAAGCACTGTCATCGCGACTTACTTGCTTCCTCTCTCAGCTCCGTTTTCTTCATTCTCAAGCGGCTTTTCCCCTCTTAGTGACAAAGGTGGTCCCGTAGCTCTAAGTTTAGGCTACAAACTCAGCAGCTAGAGTGCATCTCTAGCTGAAAGGCCTAGAGTTGACTCTCATTGGCCCAGCTGGGGTTATGTGCCCATGTCTGACGAATGGGAGCCTGGGAAATGAACAGCTCTGACTGGTCAGGCCCTGAGTCTGTGCCCCATGTCTGATCTGAATAGACCAAGAGTCAGGGAAGAGGTGGCGCCCCTCAGGACAAGTGAGTTAATGTTACCAGAGGCGTGGGAAAGGGGGATGAGCAAAAATAAAGGTAATAGGGGGTCTCTAATGCCTGTGATGATCCATATTTGAGAGGCAGCCCCCACTGGAAAGTACTATAGGTTAGGCCACTCCCAGGCTGAGTTGCATGCACGGTTGCCCAGACTGGGCACTGCACAAGAGCACTACCTAGAAGGTCACACCATTCTCCTTGTAGATTTTTTTTTATCATTGTTACAGCTTCCCAGTGATGGCAGTAAAGCATCTCATTCTGAAAGAATCTGTCTATTAAAACAATTTTACAACAGATGGAAATACGGTGTCTTGGGGAAGGGAGCTTTTTAAATTTTGTACAACAGTGGGGTTTGGGGGTGTAGCAGCTGTTTCCACATTTTCCAAATGAGAAAACATCTTCACATCTCCAGATCACTTACTCTGAGTCCTTGCTGACCTGGGTTACCCTATGTGGTATTCCCTGTTCCTGGTTATACGTGATGGAAATTCAACTGGGTCGAGGGGGATCAAGGAGCCAAGTGGTAAAAGGCACTGCTGAGCCCAGCGCCCCCAGGCCTCTCTCCCTTCGTCATCTTTGTCTCTCTTGCACTGGAGCTTGTTTTCCACCTGGCAAGGAGACGGCCAGCTCAGAACTTCCGTCACCTAGTGTCCACTCAAAAGCCCTACTTGGAATTTGAAAGGTAGGGA